TAATTTATAAAAAAAAATCTCAGATGGAAACAGAAAAAAGAAACTATTGGGTGGTGGAATCGCATGATGAAGATGGAGAGTAGCCACCACCGTCACGGTGGTTGCCTGTTTGTGGCAACGATAGTGGCATTGCTCTCCCTCTCCTCTTGGGAAAATTTCAATTAAGGACCCCAAGTGGGGTCAAATTCTCAAAAGAGGGCCCAAAGTGAACATAGTATCAAATAAGGACCCGAAGTGCCCAAAAAGTCTCAAATATGGGCTTGGATCGCCGGCCGGCCAAAATACCCGCCGGCTGGCGAGAATGTTACTGTTCCGACACCGGAACAGTAACTTTTTTATTTTTTTATTATTTTTTCCTTTCGGTTTTTCCTTTTCTGTTTTTTTTCTTTTCCTTTTCCTTTTCTTTTTTTTTTCTTCTCTTCCTCCGCTGGTCATAGCCGGGGCCGGCGGAGGTCGCCGGCCTCAGGCGAGGCCACCCTCGTCGGCGTCGGGCGAGGGCCGCCCTCGCCTGGGCTGGGCGAGGTCGAGCCTCGCCAGCGGCCGGCGGGGCCGAGCCCTCGCCGGATCTGGCGAGGCCGCCCTCGCTCGACTTCGGCGAGGCGGCCTCGCTGAGGCCGGCGATCTCTGCCCGGCCGGCTATGGCCGCCGGAGGAAGAGAAGAAAAAAAAAGAAAAGGAAAAGGAAAAGGAAAAGAAAAAAAAATAGAAAAGGAAAAAATAAAAAAAAATTAAAAAGTTACTGTTCCGGTGCCGGAATAGTAACATTCTCGCCGGCCGGTGGGCATTTTGGCCGGCCGGCGACCCAGGCCCTTATTTGAGATTTTTTGGGCACTTCGGGTCCTTATTTGAGACTGATTGGGCACTTCAGGCCCTTATTTGACACTATATTCACTTTGGGCCCTCTTTTGAGAATTTGACCCCACTTGGGGTCCTTAATTGAAATTTTCCCTCTCCTCTTTAAGCTCTCTCTCTCTCTCGTTGAGCGCTCTTTCTCTTTGTACTTTTAGACTATTTTTAATTTCTTGCGTTTGTTTCCTGAAAAACATTTTTTATAAAAATATTTTGCCTATATTCTGGCATTTGGATTTGCTTAGAAAAATGAGTCAACGGAAAATGTTTTCCAAGTTAATGAAAATCTATACTTAAATTCAGCAAAATGATTTCCTCTTTTCTCTTTCAAAAATCGAAAATCATTTATCATTATATGACTAGATATTAGCGCCTAGATAAGAAACTCTGCACTGGAACCCCAATGCTTGTTTCCGGGCCCTTGATAGCGGCCCCTGGTCGGGGCCAGGTCCACCAGGGTTCGTCAAGGCCAAGCCTAAGTCTATAGAGGCTTGGGCCCGAGACCCCGGTGCTCGTGCCTGGATCTCTAACCTCCAGGCCCAGGTCCATTAAGGTCGAGCTCAGGTCCACAGCACCTGGGCTTGAGACCCTGCACCCGGGACCGGGTCCATCAAAGTCAGGATCGTGACCCCGGTGCAAAGGTCGGGTCCCTTGTGCTCGTGCCTGTGTTCATTAAGGCTTGGCTTGGGACCTCGACACCTTGGCCCGGGTCCCTAGCGCCTAGGCATGAGACTAAAGCACCCATGCCTGAGTTCCTGACTCCTGGGCATGGGTCCATCGAGCCTGGGTCCCAAATACCTGCGCTCGCTCGTGTCAATCAAGGCTAGGCCCGAGGCCCCGGCGCCCATGCCTAGGTCTATCGAGGTTGGGCCCGTGTCAATCGAGGTCGTGCTTGAGCCCAGGTCCCCGATACCTGCGTCCAAGTCCATCAAGGTCAAGATCAGGACCCCAAAGCTCATGCCTTGGTCCTCAGCGCCAGGGTCGGGGGTCCAGTGAGGCTGGACTCGAGATCCTGGTGCACATACTCGGCTCACCAGCTACTTATACGTAATTCACTAGTGCTCGAATAATGTATATTTATTTAGGAAAACCATACTAAATAATGAAAAATATTTTCCAGCTCATTTTTAGGTTTCAACCAAACACAAAAAAATATTGTCATTTTCCTGAAAAATAACTTCATGGACAATATTTTTCAGAAATGTCACACTTTTTGTGAAACAAACGGAGCCTTGATCCAATTAAAATATGATAAAACTATCCCATGCGCTATTGTTCTCATGCTCATTTTTTATTTATTTATATATTTTCAATCTCTTTTTCAAATTTGGATTATCCCACCCCTTGATCGGATTAGACCTATCACGAGTTTAGCACCAACATCCATTGGGTTAAGTAAAGAGTAACCTCCCAAGTTCCGAACACAATAGCAATAAGCAGATGGGACAGCTTGGATCGATTATGCTTTTTTCATTTTCTTTTGCTTATGTCTTTCCTTTTTTTCCCCCTCTTTCTTTTCTCCCATTTTACCATCGGATGCATTACTTCACTATGCACGACAGCCTCTCACTGTGCACGACGCCAACCAACCTCGACCACCAGCCACGGACGCGCCTCCTTTACAGCCAAAGATTATGCCATTTCTGCATTTACTGCCAAAACTCTCTTGCCAGAACCTCCAGTTATATTCCCATCATGATCTATCCCATTTTAAATTTGAATACCCCCTCATTTACCGATCGTGTTTGGCAGCTAGTATTTTAGCCTATATCAATTGCCTTGGTGCTACATGAGAGAGAGAGAGAGAGAGCACATTACCTTCGATCTGCAATTACTTATTTCTTCGTGGTCTCTCCTTAGCACCAACAAAACCGAGCAAGTTGGCATTAAGCTCAAATTGTGCATATCTCTACAGCATAGGTGTTTGTTAACCTGGAGCAAGGAGAAAGGATAGTCAATACTTGATAGACAACATCTGATGATAGAATGCAAATTCTAGTGCACGTCCATTTTGGCAAAGGCAGAGCTCAAAAGAAATGGGCCTACGGCCAAATCCTAATACAAGCCCGTGAGACATTGTCAATACTTGGTAGATGAGCTTAACGAGATATTTCTTGAACTTGAGTTAACATACTTAATCTGGTATTTCTTATTATTATCATAAGAAAAAGAACATAATCCACATTTGGGAAAAGAGAGAGAGAATCAGAAGAATGTATGGGAAGCGTGATAAGTGGCGAGAGAAGAGGCAGAGTTCATTTTAATGGTTCGTTAAGATAAGACAAGGATTCATTTATCCACCACTATGTGAAACACCAACATGTGCCCAGGAGAGAGAGAGAGAGAGAGAGAGAGAGAGAGAGAGAGAGAGAGAGAGAGAGAGAGAGAGAGAGAGAGAGAGAGGAACAACGCCAACCTCTTTCATTGAATACATTAGTCAGGTTAAATTCTGTCTCTCGCTGCAGATAAAAGACAGCACAGATACGCAGACTCGTGTACAGTGAATTAGTCACAGGAAACTACTGTTCATCGGCTGGCATTTGCCTAAGTTATCTCACTCTTGAGTACTGAGAGTGAGAGTGAGAGAGAGCAAGAGTCCCAGTAAGGTCCAGTCTCTGATCTCTCTCTCTCCCTCTCCGTGAGACTCGACTGCTACTATTACTAAAACTATGATAGAGTCCCTTTTTGTCAGTGTAGGACTGAGACAGAGAGACACAGAGAGAGAGGGACCACTGAATTGTTACTGTTTTTAGGGTTCCTCCCAAAGGCCTCCTCTTTGTCCTTTTCAGTCCAACAACGAGCACATCCCGCGAAATGCTGTTCTCAGTCAAGTCCATCGTCGCCATTGTCATCAGTGTCTGCTTCTCTGTCCCTTTTTCCAAGCACCAAGGCTTATACTAATGCATTGCATGCACCCTCCACCCACCCATAATTCACTACACACACCTTTTCAGTTTTCGGGGGCCATTGTTATCGTTATTTGCTTTTATCATGGTCAGTCTGTCCTTATTTTTGTTTCTAAAGTACGTACCACTTTCTGAGCCGACACGGAGTTTGAGAGTCTTTTTTTCTTTTCTTCTCTTTGCGAGGATGCATGCAAACATGGTATGATGAGGACACCTTGGACCACTTCAGCTTTGGGCTGCATAAATGGTCGACTGTTTTACGGGTCTAACTAATGAAGTTTGAAGCCGAGATCGTGCCACTGACCAAGTATAGCCTACAATTGTTATGATAAGCGAAGCTACTCATATTTTACATGGATTTTGTGGGATTACTCTCAATCTCGGGAAAGATCAACAATTTAGAAAACGGCTCCTTAGAACCGATCTGTCGTGTGCGAAAAATTCACGTATGAAATGGAAAAATTGTTGCATGATCTATAGATCCACGAGGACCATGTGGAGGAACAAGTAAAACGTTGGCAAAAAGAAATGCTTCCTGGTATGCAAAGAAGACTGAACTTCTTCCCACTCACTTCTGAACACTGCAAAAGTAAAATGTTGGCCAATAGAAATACTATATGGGCTGCATAAAGGAGTGGGCTTTTCTCCATACAGGACAGAACCCAACCCAGCATGTTCTGCATTCAAATGGGATGCTTGATGGGCCAATTCCCAATTTCTAACTCCTCAGTTCTTACCGATCGTAATGGCATTGGCGAAGAAAAAAGAAAGAACGTCAATTCGAATCAAGGTTTTCCGAGAAACTGAATTATAGAAAGGAAAAACAGAAATTACGCATTAGAGAAGTGCAATTAAAACGACCCTCTAATTTGAAAAATGGCCAACTTTAATCATCCTCAAATCGGATGATTTGGAGACCACTCTCGAAGCAAAGTAATGGCTAATCTGCAATATATAGTATGTCGTATCAATAGTGTGACAGACTTTTTCTTAAAGAGGCCTCAACTTTTTGACAAAGGGGATGATTTCGAGACCCCTCTCAAAGCAAAGGAAGTATCCACGTTGAGTGAAGTGGCAGTTGCTATCAGCCATATCATCCTTCGTTTAATAAATTGGATTTCGTTATGAATAGTCTGATGGCAAGTCTGATGATGGCCAAATTTGCCCCTTGAATAAAAAGTAGGATTTTTCGACACGCTTTTAATGAAAGACACTTGATTAGATGAAGATACTATATTTACATAAATTTATGTTACACGAAACATTTTGTTTTATTAATGCAACTTTTATTCAGGAATACATATAACAAAAAGGAAAATATCTTACTCCTCTCCATCTCTATTTAATTTCCGAGCTAAGACAAAAGGGTAACAAAACCTTACTAATTCCATATGGAAATATGATAAAAAAAATAATAAAAACACAGAGAAAGATTCTCAGACAAGGGTAGAGCAGAGAACTCCAACTAGTTGGTAAAGTTAGGGACGGTGGCTTGAGCCTCACAGGCCTTGGCGGCTGGCGATGGCTCCACCCCCGGCGAAGGCGGCACCGGCTTCCCCAAGAGCTCGGTGGGCAAGTTGGGGATACCCTTCAAGTAGAAAGTGTAGAAGAGCTTGAAGGGGAAGACGATCTGCTGCAGCTTCACGGTGCCGGAGACGCCCTCGAAGATGCCGGAGCCGCCGGTGACGGCAAGGAAGGTGTCCTGGTAGGTGAGGTAGGGGCCCTGGACGGATACGTGGCCGTAGTCACCGAAGTAGAAGCTGTAGGTGGCCTCGTAGCGGTCGCCGCCCTTGTCGGGGTGGTGCTGGATGAGGACGCAGAGGCCAGAGGTGACGCCGAGGCGGCGCTGGAGGTCGCCGGAGTAGAGCTTGTTGGTGAAAGGGACGAGGTCGCCGAGGGAGTTGACGGTCTTCTGGCTCAGCCGCAGGTAGGCGGGGCTGCCTCGGTCCCGCTCATTGATCTCGTACACGCACAGCTCTTGCACTTTCGCTGCGGAGAGAGAGAGACCAAATTGATTAAAATGGTGGATCGTATCATCAAATGAATCTCGTACCAACTGCCAAAACATCGACTATGAAGAAAACAAGAGACTTGGCGTACCGGGTTTCGGAGCTTCAGGGGAGGGCTTGGGCTTGTTCCAGAAGAAGGCTCTGGTCGTGAGCTTGGCAGATCTCGTCGACGGCGTCTCTCGACGGGTGGTACTCGACAGCCTCAGGTTCCGCCGAGGCTGGCCGGAGGGATTCAAGCTGGAGATCTCTGTAACTTGCCGGTGAAGCGAAGGAGGCGACGCGAGGCCCGAGTGACTGGACGACGAGATCGTCGCGGAGGCCATTGTTGGACGGATGGTGGGTGGGAGGCAGAGATCGGAGAGAGTGAATTTGCTGTTGTCTAGCGATTTACTGTTCAAGAGGAGCGATGAGACCTTCCGTTCTGTGCGGTCATCGCTTATTTCATTTTATATAGAAGCACTTTGCGCAGGTTCTTGATGCTTTTGTTTGATCTTTTCCTTTTGCAAAAGGCAAGTTGATGAGCTAGCAAAAGGACGAAACATAAATAAAGAAGAAGGATCAAGAAAACGTGGGTTCTTCCTGTAATTCATGTCTGCGGGATCGAATGACGTCGAGAGGGCTTTTAGTTTTCGTAGTTTGTAGTCAGTCAAGTCAACGGTGGCACCTGCACCGCTCAACTTTTTGTATTTTCTTCCCAAACTTAAAAAACTGTTTTTTGTTGGAGATATTATTACATATCTTTTGATTTATGTGTCAATTGATTTAGTAAAGTTACATTACAATGAAATATGAATGGTTGTAAATGAAGTTAAATTTAAAAGATACATACATATATCTAAAGAAATTCCTATGAATCCATTTACAAAATGAGGTAATTGTAAAGTGAAGTGATAGTTTTTTCTGTTTCATGAGGATATTAATCATTTATCAACAATTCGATCAAGAAAAAATAAGGTCGTTATCAGATTGATTCCTTTATACCTTTGGTTTGATAAAATAAACTAATTTGATAAAAGAACCAATTCGACAAGAAAACTAATTTCTACAAAACTAAAAGTCTAATCATCATTATTTAGACATAATAATAATATGTATAAATATATATACAGACGTAACATTATTATTGGTGAGGATACGGCAAATGAAAAATATGAACAAAGACCCCTTCTAGACATACCGCACTAACAAAGGCTGATTAAATAAGATGGAGATCATCGGTATTAGTTGTATCATTTCACAAACACTATCATACTATTTCAATTTTTCATCCTAAATTTGATTTTTTGTACGTAAATAGATTTAGAGAAAATGGAATTAGTCATTTAGATTTGAATTTCATTGCTCAATATAATAACTACTTTGGACTCTTTTCATTTAACATCTACTAAATATAATTTTATACGTCGGAGTCAGCATTCATCGATGCACGAGGAAAGAAAAGAAGGGTTTAGCATTCATTAATGTATTGGCTGGGGGCATTGACCAGTCAACTGGGAAAAATAAACAGGAAAGTTCCAATTCTCTCAGCTAACCAAGTTTTGTCGTGATCTGAAACAGGCCCAGACAGTCCGATCCAAAGAGAGTTCAACCGTTCAGTCTAAACTTGAACTCGACGAGAGGCCCAAAAACTTCTGCAAAAGGCCATGAAAATATGTGATTATGTTCTCATATGTTCTGTCAAAACAAGCCCGTTACAGGATCGAGCTTTCAAGAACAATTTTATCTGTCAATGTCTCAGCTCAAAGTTCATCAAGCAACACTCTCAAGAAAGCAACTCAACATTGGTGGACCAATCCATTCCTAGACAATGCTTTTACCACTTCAAAAACCAATTTCCTCCCTTTAATGATAAACCCTTCATATGCAACTGTTTCACCAAATACGGCGTCGACCCAAGTAACAAAATTTTTTTCACCAAAAAGTTGATTTTTTGGTATTTTTTATGAGATGGGTTCTGTGATAATTTCGGATGGGATTTCAATTGGCATAACAAAGAAGAAGAGCAATACATTTAAAGGTAAAAGACTGTTAATGATGGAAAGTGAAAAGACATTAACATTAATACATTGGTAAAAGTATAGCGGGAATATGTGTTCTTGATCATGAATCCTTTTCTGATAATCACACGCTGTCTTTTTTTATAGCAGTTAATACTTTCATTGCAGTTATAACTGCACCTCCATGATTTTAGGATACCCATTCGCACGTGGATGCCATCCACGGTCAGTTACAACTCTTGAAGTGCCACTGGGTTGCACTGCCACAGCTCAATATCCATGCCTTCAATCGACATCTTCATTCTGTCTCCTTTCTTCTTTTCCTTGTGTCCAAACACTTAGCCAAATTTAATAACTGGCTTATATATTGGTTTTGTCATCGAAACAAGATACTCATCGATCACTTGCCATCAAGCATCGACATTTGTAATTCATGGTCATCGATAATCATTGTTCATAGTCATCGATAAGTTCTACCATCTTTGATAACTACATCATAAAGCTGTTGATGACCAACACATAACTTACCGATAACTATATCGGTCTCATCACCGAGCGCTATATCCGACCAACAGCAAGGAATTTTTTGGATGTAAGCAAGGAAAACTAGAGCATATAACACCAGTGAACAAAAATTAAAAAAGTAGTCTTATTCACTATTGATTTGAGGGTTATACACATCCATTTTCTCATTAACCATCAAAATAAAGTGGACAAAGCCGCTTGTAGAAATTATGTTTTTCCCTGCCGGTATATGCTAAATTTGCTTTATACATAGTGCACCACTTGCCCAAAGAGCCAAAAGAATAGCTCGTTTCTTGTTGAAAGCAATGCAACCACATATATAGTCATGTACTAGTTCTCAAAGAAGACTTGCATATCCAATGTCCTAGCAATGCACGTAACATTCATTAATCGTGCAATCTGTTGTTCTAGACTATGACCCTAAAACGAAATGCCAATAGTTATCACCTCGATTGATAAACAGGTTTTAAAAATATTTTCTTACATCTAGCATTACTTTAAAAGGTAAGAAATTGCGACATTACGTTGTAAGTTTTGTAATTATAGCACATAGAGTTATTATATAGAAATCCTGAAAGCAAACAATGTCGACTTTGGATATTTGTTTACGGTTAATTGAGCTAACACTTTGAGGTATGTAAAAAAAAGTCCAACACTCTTACTCTTGAATTACATATAGAAGTTTAAGATTGGAAAAAATATGTAAATCTGTTGCGGAACAATACCAAGAAATGCACAAATAGAAAGGATGAAAGCAAAATCGAATCATACGATACACAAGATATACGTGGAAACTCAAAACGGGAAAAACAACAAGGAGAGAGAGGGGTTTTACTAGCTTCAGCAACAAGTACAAGAGTACAATCGAAAAGCTCAAAAACCACTTGGTGAGCAGTAAGGTCTAACAAGAAGATAAAAAGAACAAAGAAGGGAGAGAATGTGGAGGCTGGGGTAGTAGATGCGTTGTGCAACATATCCCTTTTATAGTCCCCTTTAAAAAAAACCCTATAATAAATGTGCATGGTCCAAAATACCCTTATCGTCAATTTGAAAGTCAAACTCAACAAATCTCCACCTTGACTTCAAATCTCCAGAGCGTTATATCAAATGCCACAAGACCTCTCCCCCTCACCACCAAGAGTGACCACACAAGGCTACCCCAAAATAGCGGAATCGACAACACACACCCTTAAGCCTACGTGAGCGTACTTGGTGTAGGAAACAAGGGATGAAACGCAATCTACTCCGCCTAGGCAACTCAAATGGTGAAAACGCCAATCAAGTCCAAGCAATGCTTGAACTTTGTCAAAGAAACTGGTTTGGTCAACATATCTGCCGAGTTATCCGCCGTAAATACTTTCTTCACCATAATTATACCCTTAGCAACCTCATCACGCACAAAGTGATACCAGATGTCGACATGTTTCGTTCTCTTGTGATACTTCGCGTTCTTGGTCAACTATATCGCACTTTGGTTATCGCAAAAGATAATAGACACTCCCTCTTGCTTCACTCCAAGTTCTGTAACCAAACGCTTCAACCAAAGAGCTTCTTTTGCCGCTTCTGTTGCTGCCATATACTTTGCTTCGGTGGTAGACAAGGCAACCGTGTCCTACAAGGTTGCTCTCCAACTAACCGCGGAACCACCAAGCATATAAATATAACCTGTCAAAGATCTCCTTTTATCGAGATCACCTGCATAGTTAGAATCAACGAAACCAACAAACGAATGCCTTATATCACAACTTCTATCAAAGACCAAACCCACATCTGAGATACCCCGGATGTACCAAAGAATCCATTTCACGACTTGCCAGTGAGCTTTACCCGGATGTGCCATATATCTGCTCACAATACTAATAGCATGAGAAATATCTGGACGAGTGCAAACCATAGCATACATGAGACTACCCACAACACTAGAATATGGAACTCGAGACATCTCATCTTCCTCTTCCTTGGTTTTAGGCGACAAAGAAGCTGAAAGCTTAAAATGAGACGCCAAAGGAGTACTTACCGATTTGGCATTTTTCATGCTAGAGTGCTCAAGAACTTTCTCAATATATCTCTTCTGCGAAAGGTATAACTTCTCAACCTGTTTGTCTTTGCTAATCTCCATACCTAGAATTTTCTTGGCAGCTTCAAGATCCTTCTTCTCAAACTCCCTGCTAAGTTGCCTCTTCAACTGTTGTATCTCTAACACGTTCTTCACTGCAATAAGCATGTCATCCACATATAATAGCAAATAAATAAAATAACCGTCATGTAATCTCCTATAGTACACACACCTATCATGCGCACTCCGTGAGTGGCCATGACTCAACATAAAGCTATCAAACCTCTTGTACCATTGTCGTGGAGATTGGTTGAGACCATACAAAGAGCGTTTCAACCTGCAAACGTGATATTCTTTACCCTCAACAACAAATCCCTCGGGTTGAGACATATAGATTGTCTTTTCAAGCTCGCCTTGCAGAAAAGCGGTCTTGACATCAAGTTGCTCAAGTTCTAGATCATAAAGGGCCACCAACGTGAGCAACATACAAATGGAACTATGTTTCACAACCGGAGAGAATACTTCATTGAAGTCGATCCCCTCCTTCTGACTAAAACTCTTTGCTACCAAACGTGTCTTGAATCTTTCATCTTCAACCCCTGGAATTCCGTCCTTTCTTTTGAAGACCCACTTACATCCAACAGCTAATTTGCCCTTAGACAATTTCATAATATCCTAAGTTTGGTTCTTATGAAGAGACTCCATCTCTTCATTCATCGCGACAAGCCACTACTCAGATTTAGAACAAATGGTAGTTTCATGGAATGTAGAAGGTTCTTCAATACGAAACTCTTCAGCAACTGTAAGAGCATATGCTATCAAATCGGCAAAGCCATATCTTTGGGGAGGCTTAATTTGCCATTTAGGCCTCCCTGCAACCAAAGTCTAAGGTTGTTCAACTTCTTCTACGTCATCTTTGATAAATATGAGTCTTGTTGCTCATTAAG